ACAGAATATAATGTTCAGGATTTTCGTAGCACGGCAAAACTAATATCGAATTATACATAAGAAACTATTGGTAATACTTTTTAATATAATTCCACAAATTCTGGTCTAAGCATGATACTGTTTTGAGTTTTGGAATTTACTTTTACCGCGAGTCGTAATGGCGCTTCACAAACGAATTGAAATAATCACAGAATGCGATAACTGTTATGCTATTGGATTCCATTTCGTCTCCTATCGTAGGCTCCATCGCTTTCCATTACTCATTTAATCAACCAACAAAGAAACATTCTCTGACCGGACGAATTCTATCTATGTGGTTGCTTAGACGAATTGTCTATAGATTCGTAATTTGTTCTATTTTTACCTCATAGTGGATATACACCTATAGCCTCTCTTTTCCTAAAATGAGAACATAAGGGAGGGAATGTATAGAGGAAATATGACCAAATTGCAAAGTTTTTGGATACAACATTAATTTTTGTTGATATTTTATGTTTGGATAAGACGAATGCTTGTCATTTGTTGATAATATTAATTTTACATACTACACTTCCTCACAGTCTTGTTAATTTGAATTTAAACTACACAAATTATATTTGGCGTAAATTTTTAATTGTATTCACCTTACCGGAGTTGCCACCAGAGCTCTTCCAGAATTATCTGGAACATGAGACATATCCACTCTATTTCGTTTCAGGTGTTGAATTTTTCCACAATCATATAAATAGAGCTGATGTTTTCATTGAGTTTAACGTATTCTTGCTTTCCCAAAACGTCTTATCATCTAGGGTGGGCTGCAGCTTCAACCTCGCCAGGGTCTTACCAACACTCTTAGCAGGACTCAAACCATAGCAGTGCAGCGTATGATCTCGACGCTGTCATGGCTAGAGTATCGCTGGGAGTGTTGATAAGACCTTGGCGATGTTAAAGCTGCAGTCCACTCTGGATGAGAACACCTTTTGGAAAAGCAAGACTACGTTAAATTCAATGTAAACGTCAGGTCTACTCATATCATTGTGGGAAACTTTATCTATCAGTTCTTCATCACCTTAACGAAATAGTTGTCTCGAAACCCTACTTATAAATAAAAATAATCATCTGGGACAATTTCTGACATTACTAAACTGAATTTCGCTAATGATGGGATCCTTGGTATATGAACGTCCAGTGGAGCACCCACAGGGTCGTTACCCGGAATCGCCTCGTGTTCCATACTCATCTCCTAAGTATTTGTTTTATATATGAACCTTGTCTGTTCGATAATTCACTTACTGATCTAGTCAAAGTCCATGTAGGAGTATGGCTGGACCCAAAACCTTATTTTCCATTAACTTAATATTCAACTACCCAGCATAGTATAAGCTCTATCCTTCCTTGTATTAAACTCATCTTTTATGCCTTATAGGAGACTCCTCTCCTGTATGCATCCTCATCCATTATGTCTGGTTTAGTTTCCGCTATCTTGGGCACTCCTGCAGATCTTATCAAGACACGACTTATGAACAGTCGTGCCCCTTCATCCGGACGATCCCATGGTACTCAGATCACCCCAATACCTCCCAATACGGATGTAAAGGCATCAACCTTTCTGGCATCCGGTTCGACACATATGCAGACCTCTTCAGCTCCCAGCTCTGCTGGATATTCTGGATTACCTTCACTACCACAGGAGCAGCACTACAGCGGGATGCTTGATTGCGCTCGCAAAGTAGTTCGTTACGAAGGTCCTTTAGCTCTGTACAGAGGATTTTTCCTAATTTGGGCCCGAATGGTATATTCTTCTACCAATTTGCTTTCTTTTCATATTTTTTTTGTCTATATATAATTTCTCAGTTTGTTAAATCAGTATTTATTATTGCTCTCGATTTCTCTGATTACTTAGAAGTGATCAAGACATTAGATGTTCATATCTTTGAAGTGGAGCACATATTTTACTTTATCCTTTATAGTCGTTTTAATTTTTTAAACATATTCTATTTAATTTATGATCCGTTTAGTTCATCATGCTAGGTAGGGTTTTTTCTCTTAATATTCTAGCCAAGGTAATACTAGCTCATATAGAGGGCGGTTACCACTACTAGTAGCTACTTACAGCTGAACACACACAAAAAATCAATTTTTCCTTAAAAGCCTGGTTACCTTCTTTAGCATACAACTTCTTTCTATTTCTGCGAAACTTTTTAGATTATAGACTAGACATTTTTGTTCAAGACATCATACTTACCTCAGTCATCTTTACTTTCTATAACACCAACCTACTTTAACTTGTAAATTCTGTGTCTAGATATTTGGGTATCTAATTTTATCCCGTATTCTTAGTAATAAGCATGCTCCATTTTGATGAGGCTACCTTCATTTTCTGATCAACCTTTATCCCAAAAAGTAAATATTTAATATCCATTGCTTGA